TGGGTCGATAAAGTGAGACATTGCAATCTGTAAAGTGCAACATCATATTTTATATTGTGCAATGTGACTGTATATAAAGTGCATTAGCGTGGCATGTACAGGAGAAATGCTTAGGTGCGACATTACAGTATGTAAAGTGCAACGGCGTGTTCTATATCGTGCAATGCGATTATATATAAAGTGCAGTAATGTAGTACATATACACGTATTTGTATTAGTCTGTTATAGCGAAATTATTTTGTAATTGTGCAAATACACGAGTTCATACATTATACTCTTTTTTAAGATTCATATGGTATCAACATTTGAAAAAGTGCAACGCGATGTCCACGGAAGTGCAACGCAATGTTTAGAAAAGTGCAACGCATAATCAAAAAAAGGTGTGATGTACACATTGTTCGCAGTCAATGTGCGCACCCAAAATACTACATAAATATCCTACTGGCAGACATATTAATTATCAGCCAATACCACTGAAAAAAAAAAATGACGAAAGTAGCATTAAAATGACCGACTCACGACAATGATCAAGTGCTACATAGAGCAATATTCGCTAAACAAACAACCATACGTCTCTACCTTTTCCAAATAAAGAATAAAACAAAAAATCCAATAACATTAAACCAAATGTCCAATCGTAGTATTTTGATCCGAGATGACTTCCATGAACTGCTTGTTGCATCACCTGTCGTCTGTGTCTGCATGTATTATTATTTTTTTTTTAATATATATATACATGTTAATATTCATACATCACATCTAATACGCATTACACTATTGTACGAATACACACACATTGTTAATAAATACATACATATATTGAGAAACGATATAGAATGTTGACATATGTATAGAGATGCACGTTGTAGAGAAATATATATGCATAATATATATGTTAGAGTATTAGACAGCTATTTGTGCATTTACCTCGACGGCATTTGATGTGTACGCCTGCTGCTTCTTGGGACACGTACGTGCGTTGTGGCCTGCTATTTCACCACACGACTTGCATGTCCTTCGTTTCTTTTGTGACCCTTCAATTGCCTTTTCCTTCGCACTTTTCAGTCTCTTCCCACTGCCTTTGTTCTTGGATTGTGTCGGAGGGTGAATGTTCACCTCTTGAGGAGCAGGCATGCCGACAAACAATTCAAATTGGTGTTCTTTACCAATGGTCGTTGTGTCCCCTGATTGCAAACAGCATACACGATTTTTTATAAAGTGCAACGATGTGTTTTATATTGTGCAATGTGCCGATATGTAAAGTTCAATAATATAGTGTATACATTGTACATACTTAGGAAGACTTTACCTGTGATTGTCGCATCCCCTGTTTGAGCAGACATGAGCTTAGACTTGTATGCTTCGACGATTTTGGAAAATTCGATAAGGCGATCGACACAAGGCTCAGCTAATCCAATGCATATATGTATATCTGACCACAATTTGTTCAACAAGTATTTTGTATCATCGGCCCGAGCACATTGTGAAGCAACATTGCCAAGAACATGAAACATGGGATTACTAATCGCCTGCTTCGTCCATCTCGATATGATATGTGCCTACAGAATTAGATTGAAGTTAAGGTCTTTGAGCACAAAAAACACATGTCTACACAACAACCCGTACAACTCGAAGTGCTTACACGAGCATGCAGATGTAGTTAGGACAACATCATGAATAACAGTGAAGATCTTACCGTTTGGGTCTTTGAGTTTGAATTCCATAATTCCTTCACTTTCGGAGACGCTCATTACACGACAATTGAAACACGCTGCACATATCTCATCCTGTACACGGTAGAATGAGAATGTCGTGTAAACAGACCTCGCGTGCCTCTCAATCGGCAAAGGTGTCTTCAAGTCAGCCATTTGCGACTCACTGTCGTTTTGTAGTTTGACTGACACGTTTCGTTGCGCGTCCATCGCACTGTCGAAATGTAGTAAGAACTCGACTAAGCTGGAATGGCTACTTGTGAAATGACCGAACCAATTGTTCTCGCTCTCGGACCTGGACGTTGTCCTCATCAAACCACTCATTTTGACATCCCTGAAAAATGCTGGAATCCAAAATTCCCTTTTTGCAAATAGATCAGTGAACCAATTGTGTGTTTCCAGCATATAATCTCTCATTATTGCCGCCCATTTAGTTTCAAATTCATTAGGCTCTATAGTTCGATCCCACACAATTTCATTAAGCCTTCGTTTGAATTCTACATCATTGTTTAAAGAAGGACCAACCTTGTCGCATAATTTTGTCATTATATGCCACATGCAAAATCGGTGTTTGCAAGTTTCGAATACCTTAGGAAACGCAATGCCGATGGACGGATCTTGGTCAGTGACAATGTACTCGGGCTCGTGGATCATGGCATCTTTGAAATTCTTCAATACCCAAACATAAGAGTCGACGTCCTCTTTTGATATCAAGGCAGCTGCAAATGTCACACACTTGCCGTCGTTATCGATGCCGGTAAAAGGTGCGAATACCATGTTGTACCTACACGTCGATCAAGTTGATTTAGTATACAAGTGGTAATTTATATTTTGTGCAACCAGAGAATGTATAAACTATGCAATTATTGTTGACATTTGCAAATATTATTGACGTGACAACATATACTGAAAAATATACGTGAAATTTGTGCTAACCTGTTGGTGCGGTATATCGCATCAAACGATACAACATCACCAAACGCACCGTAGTTTCTCCTCGAAATCGGATCAGCCCAAAAAAGCCGTTTCAAACAGTCGTTTTCATCAAGCTCGTATTGGAAGTAGAAGGCTGAGCTTGCTTCCCGACGCTTATGGAATTTCTCAATAATCAATTGTGCATCAGCTCCTAAGATGTACGCAAGAAGTTCCGGCTTAAAGTTCTTGAAACCGACGCTGGTGGCTCCAATGTTCGAGTACCCTCCAACCATCTCTTTGTACAATCGGTACGACTTGACCGGCCCTATATTGGCCTTTATGCAATTTATTACGAACGACCGATGTCCTGCATTCATCGACCTACTGATCTTCATTTGTGACTTGCAAGCATCAGATATCATTGAGTGACTATGTTTTTCCTCAAAGATTTTAACGATGTATCCGTTCAATCCATCATATCGCACTCCAATCTTGGCAGTACATCCTACCCGGCTGGACACTCTACGTCTTGTCACGTGTCCTTTAGCATGTGCCGTAGGACTGATGACTCCACGCTGCTTGTAACCCTCTCGCGAGCACACGAGGTATTTCCAAATAACTGTCTTGTCACGTGCTTTCGCCAACGTGCTATGCCTCACGTCAAATCCAACGGTAAGAGCATAAGTCTTGTAGAAGTTCACTGCTTCATCTAATTCCCGAAATCTTTGTCCTTGATACGATTTAATCGATTCGTCACATTGTGGTATCCAATGTTTTGTTCCACCCGGTGTTATTAAAAGTTGCTGTGTAACCGGCGGTTGCATTCCTTAAGTGACATTGGAAGGAAAAAAAAAATACAGAAAAATAAAACATATCAATAGTAATAACTAAACCCACCGATTGCACTGATGTGAACAGACAGATGCACGCAATAGAATCGACTGTTGCACTTTATCACAGTATAGATAAAATTGTCCTCAGTACCTGGCTGAGAGTCATTTAACTCCATGGTTTATGCGACCCAACCAAGAAAGCATATGAAGTCCCTAAAATCACATGAAGAAACAAAGTATATCAGATCAACTATGAGATCAACTTCCCTAAAATTACATATTTTGACATGTAGATAATTAAACAAACAATTCTCAATTTTTTCGTACAATAACTGACCAAAATCGGAAGTTTAATTCGAAAAATATACCTGACACCGAGATTGTTACTGAAATCAGAAGTATGTGATATGGCTGTTCAATCGGAAGTTTCGGGCTCGCGAATCGAGATTGTTACTGAAACCTAATGGAATATTGGAAAACCGAGCTCGACATGGTGAAAAATCGGTCGCGAAAAATACACAGCTGCGGGATTGAGAAGATTTAGGTGAGGGTATGAAGGAGCTGGGGGATTTTTAGGGAGCTTGTGCGGGTATGAAGGAGCTGCGAGATTTGGGGAGTTTATGTGCGGGTATGTAGGTCTTCAATGAGACATTAAACTGACGTAATTACAGTATTACCCTCCAATTGATTGGGTAATTGAATCCCAGCGGGTCTCTTATGTCCGTTTGATTTCATTGATCTAGTGTATGAGATTTATTCCAATTTCTCGCATTAAGGGTCATTCTCACCGGAGCGTGACCCTATATATATATATATATATATGTACACAACAAAATAATATTTTTTATATTGTTCAACCGTTTAAGTTATTTTAAACAACAAAGAAACTAAATTTTAAAAGTAAAACAAATAATCAACCCAAAATATAAAATTCGAACCCAAAACCGTGTATGATTGTTTCGGCCCCTATAGTGCAATATGATAGTTACTAATGTGCAATCCCTCTGACATTAATGTGCACTCGAAGTGCAACTATTTTTATATAAATATATTTATTATTTTAATATTTTTATTTAATTTTTAGTTGAAAATATATAATATATTTATTATATATTATAATGTGTAATTTAAATTATCAAATAATTTATTGTTTATATTAAAAATTATATTTAGTACTTTAATATGTGAATATAATATTTATAGTAATTTTTAAGTTTAAAATATATAATATACGTGTATAACAAAATATATAAAAATATCATTTTTAAGTATTTTAGAAATTACAGATTTAACCCATGTACTAAATTAAAATATATTTAAAATTTCAGAAATTACAGTCAAGTCCTTGAGTTTTATCTAATTTTCAAAGCTATATCAAGTCCGTTAACACTCCCGTGGTGCCGTCGCGCTAGCTGCCTCACCATTTCATCGCCGCCATATACACCAGTACGATTGTCGTCGTCACCGCAGCAAGCAGCCGTAGTGTGTGTTAGTGTGTGTGTGTGAGTGTGTGCGTGGCGGCGACAGGATTGGTGTGACAATGGCTTTTGGCAGGATGCTCGTGGCTGAATCTAGCGGAGGCTCAGCGGCGGGGTCGCCAGCGTCTTGGCCATCAGTTGAAAAAAAAAATGCCGCGACCATGTGTTGGACGTGTACGGCGGCGGAAGTAGCTCCGGTGGAAGGTCGGCGGCGGAGTGGCGACGGTTGGCCGTGAGTCTCGATTGTTGTGTATGTGTGTGTGAGTCTCGATTGTTGTGTGAGTGTGAGAGAGAGAGAGAGATTAATGTTACTTGGTGGATACTAAATTGTGTGTGTGAGAGTCTCGTTGTTGTGTGTGTATGAGAGAGAGAGAGGACACTAATGTTACCGGGTGGATTTTGATGTGTTGGTGGGGATGGATCCCATTAATTTGGGTGGTTGAGAAATTAACCACCTTATTCTTAATATATTTAAAATGATAAAATGTGGCTAAGATTTTTTCTTATTTTGAGTATCATCCTCATTTAAACCCAACTTTTGCAATTTAATTCCTCCATTATTCGAACAAGACGAAACACATACAACTTGTTACTGCTTGCTTTTTTGACCTCAGAACTCAGTATAGTTAATCTAGTATACCACTTGGTTTCGAATAAAACCATCTTCCAAGACGGCGGTTTCTAAAACCACTTGGTTTTTTCTTGTGGGATGAAGTTAAAAAATCACTTTTGACTTAATTTTGTTCATAATTTTTCAATAAACAACATGACAAAGCATCAACTGCCCATATATATTCATAGCTGGTAGCCTGGTATTGCTCTGCTGCCAAACCAGTGAACACAGCCAATTGGTATGCGATTAAAAAATATATATATATATAATCAAGAAATCTATATAAACATGGCATTTTGGAGAACTGCAAAGAAAATTAAAGTTAATTTTTGCGCATAGAAATTCTAACTAAACAGCTATTTAAGCATTTTGAAGTAGATATATGGGTGTATTCAGGGCTGTTTTTCTGTGTGGGATTTTTCTCAATTTGCTTGTTTTATGTAGTTCGGAGGCAGAGGTTACGACAGTAAATATTCTTACAGCTAAAAATCTCCTCAATCAAGGCCATCTCTATCTTGATGTCAGGTTGAACTAAAAGATCTTTTCAACTTCTTAAGTACATTTATATCTATTATTTGCTTGATTATATTATTATATATATATATACACATGTATGTATATTTATTTTGGTATGTATTGAATAATTAACAATAGGACTGAGGAAGAGTTCAAGAATGGGCACGTGGAGAACGCCTTGAACATACCTTACATGATCAATACTCCAAAAGGTAGTATAGTTTTTAAATTTATTTTGCTTATTTAGATAATTGATTCATTTTTTTTTTTTTTCCCCTTCTCTATTAACTGATCATTTGAGAACTTTCAGGCATGGTGAAGAACCCCAGATTTGTGGATCAAGTTCTGTCCCTCTTGGGCAAGGAATATAAGCTTGTTCTGGTAAATAAAGCAAGAAAATTGGTTTAATTTCAATTTTACTGGACTAAACTCCTATACATTAGTCTCATTGTTATATCAAGGATTTCATAGTTTGCAATAAAAGATAGGAATTAATTATTGTATTAGTTGATAGCTGTGTAAATGTGGCAGGGGTGCAAAAGTGGTGTTAGGTCCTTACATGCAGCTACCGAACTTGTTAACGCAGTAAGTCTCATATTTTTTTTTTCCAATTCACACATCAATTTTGTTCGCCATTGGATCATTGTGTGGATATTGTTACTGAAATTAATATATATGTGTTTTTTATTTTTTATTTTTTATTTCTTTTTAGGCAAGTCTTTATTTTCTTACAAACTATATTGATATGCAGGAGTTCAAGCATGTGTACAACATGGGAGGAGGAATCAGTGCCTGGATTGACAATGGATTTGCGGTGGTGAAGCCACATAGTGAGGAATTATAATTATAACTAAATCGTTTAAAAGCAAATAACAATTAGATAGATGATGCATTTTATTCAGACATTGTCGGCTCAAAGATAAGGCCCCTATTATTAAGTACAATTTTGGTGGTGTTGGATATGTTATTTGACACTCAATATTTTGTGTGGTGAGTACCGTTTCATAGTTTCAACTGTACAATTGACACATGACTTAGTAATTTGACTTCATTTCGTCTCCATTCTTTTTTTTATCCCTCTTTAATCAACTACATAGAGAACGATGTGAACAACTTTATAAAAATAAATTAGAAGTTAAACAAGCATCTAACAATTTCAAAGAGTGAGGGGCACTGTTTATGTGACTTTCCACCACACACACTTTACAATATACTAAACTTCACAAATCAATCCAAGAGTAACCTTTGCGGTTATTTTAGCACAACTTGCATTCAAACACTTGAGAAAAGAAAAGAGAATCAATCCCAAACTCATTAAATTCACACAAACAACCAACAAAAACAATTAAGACCTCTCATCACCAGCCCAGCTGTCTTTCACCTTAGGCCCAGTAGGCCCATCTTCACCAAACACCTCATTTGGAAGTCCCCTCATAAACCTCTCAAACCCATCCTTCAATTTCCCAGGCAGCAACTTCTCCACCTTCTTCATCTCATCCTCAGTCCTGTACTCGATCTTCGGGCCCCACTTCCTCATGTAGTTCACCCACCGAGGCTCCACGAAATCGGGCCCCAAGTACTCGGCCCCGACCACTAAATAATTCGACCCGACATCAAGAAACTTGCCCTTACCACTATCATTCCTTATCCCAATACTCCCATTCCCTTGCAACACCAAACCCTCCTTCGGGTACATCGCGTGCCCGTGAAATGACGAAAACGCCCCTGGCCTATTCCCTTCCACGAATTCCAATTCCGACACGTCCAACCAAACCCCTCCGCTATGCTCGGAAAAGTACATCCCCTTAAGCTCCCCGTCGAAATTGCTCACTCTCAACGTGACATGCTCCCAATCCCCAACGTGCTCCCCGATTCTCCCCAACGACACGTCGAAGAATTTCACTTTTGCCCTTGCCGGCCCGTTAAAAGGGTAAAATAGCCATATTGCCACGTCGCTAAATGTCCCGCCGAACATCGGCTTCACATGCAAGTAACAACACGCGCTCGACAAGTCGCCCTTTTTAACCACCTCACTATTATTCGTGGGGAGGTCAATCCAGTAATTATCGTCATTCTCGCCGCCTTCTGGAAGGTTCGACCCTTCCGGATCGATTCGAACCGGATTCGACTCGTCCCCATTTTTATAAAGCAATGCACCGTTTTCAAAGTACCATTTTACCGAGCACGGAAAATACTCCTCGTCCGGGTGGAAATACACGCGCGGCGAGTAAGCCTCGATAATCGCCTCGATTTGATTCTTGTTCGGCATTGCGTAGTAGTTTTTTTCACCGCTCGCGTTTTTAAGACAGGGTAAATCCAAGTCGACCCCGTTTTTACGAACGGTAAAAGTTCCCGTCTTTACCCCTGCGGCTCGAATTCCCCTGTTTCTCGGTCTCGAGCTGTAGATATTAATCTCGCTCGAGTCCCACACCAATGCCTCGTTCTCATTGAGTTCCGTGAAATCTGACCGGACGCAACGTAACTTTTCGAGCGCGGGCTTTTCGGGCGAGCCCGTGATGACGAGCCCGACTGCCTTGTATCCATTAGGAGGAGTTGGGAGCCAAATGTAGCCGGTTTTTTCTTGCTTGATTTTTAGATTTTCGCTTGTCCAGACGAGAGTGTAGTCGATCGGTGGCTTTAGAGAGCCGTTTGAGGGGTCGTTTGTCGAGTCTTTTCCGACGAGGACCCAACCGGAGAGCGGCTTGTTGTTGGGCTGGCTGTAGCAGCCGAGCATATGGAAGCCATCGGGTATGGATGTGGGCTCGAAAAATGTGGACCCGAGATTGTCGGGCCCGCCTTCGAGTGTGGCCCAGAGTTTAGTGAATTTTGAGGCCTGATAAATTTGTAAGCCTCCGAGATCAATAGTACCACTTGCAAAACCTTCACCTGAACAGCAACCAAAGTAAAATTTGAAAAAACAAAAATAAAAAAAAAAGAGTTAAAAATTTACTGAAAATTGATAAATACATTTGTTTGTAGAGTTATTACAAAAATGATTAACCTGGTGGCCAAGATGAAAGTGGAGAAGGAAGTGTGAACGAGGTTTCAATGGGAAGAGGCTGTTTTTTCTTCTTGAAAATGTTGAGAAAATTAAAAGAAATGCCCATTATTGATTGGTGAGAGCAGAGAATATGAGAATTGGCCTTATGGACAAGGGGATTATATCAAGTTTTATACTAAAAGCAGCAAAGATGAGAAATATATGTGGTATATTCTCTCATGGAGTTTTAGAATAAAAGGAGTATGAAAACCCGACCCGCAAGCAAGAATTTCGTTGTTGGGATGATATTTAATCCTTGAAAGGCACTGTAACGGTATAACGAATTGGATTATTTCTTTCCTATGCTTTAAGAACATCTTATTGCAAGAGTGTTAAAAATATTTTTGACTTTTCTTCCACACAAAGCACTCATATTTTTATTGTGATGTGTGGCTGTTGCTGTTTTGTTACAAGATCACGTCAAATATGATCGTAATTGCTGGTCGTTATTTTTTTTCCTCATTTAACATGTGCACCATTTCTAGTTTGGTTAGCACGAAAACTGACTCACACCGTCACACGCAGACACAAAAGAGAAGTATACAATGTAATCGATTTTGGATACTTGTAACATTTTGGATTGCGGACAAAAATTCATTGGTATTTGCTATATTATGAAAATGTTGTGCATTTAAGTGCCCATGTCAATTTAGTAATGAAGCAAATTAAATTTATATTGAGTGGACGTATAAATATATATCCATTGATAAGTTTAGGATAGCTGTGAATTGAACGCCCTCTCATTTTGACCTAGTTTATCTATTATGCTTATCTATATCTATATATCTTAAAAACGTTTGATATTTACTTGAAATAATAACTAAAATCCCGTCAAAATTTTTTTTTTTACTTTTATTAGTAACTTTTAAAAATATTTTTAAAAAATGACGGCTAATCATTTTTATATTAAATTCAAATGTTTAAACTAATTGATAAATAATTTATAAATCTCTATTTTATTTAAATATTTAATTTTATTTAAAATAATTTTAAATATAACAAAATTTATTTAGAAAATCGTATCGATCCTACCAGTCCAACGTGTTGACGGATTCGAAAGCAAATATTTTATTTAAGCGAACTAGACTGGTTATAAATCGGTTCTCGGTCAATTCGGTCGGAATGTATATGTCCAACCAGGTTTAATTTAAAAACAATGGATAAATCATAATTACTGTTATTTATATATTTAATTTATAATACAATCGTAATATTGTTTCCCGTGCATCGCACGGGCCACACACTAATATTATTACAACTGAAATGAAGTAATTTCGTGTATTGTATGTCTTTGATTTTCTCATAATTTTTTATAGCATGTATAGTCGGCACAATATTTTATACGTAATCTACATAATTTTTATCATCAATATGTCACGTCTTTATTTGTAGATATATAAATTTGATCAGCAAAATCTACACCAAATATTATTATTTGTATGATAATTAAAGGATGTTTGGATATAATATTTTTTTTATTTTGATTGATTTTTTTGGTTCTAAAATAATATTTAAAATAAAATAATTAAAGTTGATATGATATAAAAGTAGGAAATAGATGATGTGAATTGATGTTTAGTTAAAATTATGTGAGTGAATGTATAATAAATTAATATTGATGTAATGTGTAAAAATAATTGGTTGATATTCTTTAATTATATTGACAATATTGAGGATAGTAAGTTGAATCAAAGTTAAGCTAGATTTGAGTAAAAAAAAAGTAAATATATATATATATATAGAGAGAGAGAGAAGGGATCATATGAGAAAGAGAGATAGTGAAAGAAATAAGAATGAATATCTGCTGTTGGATCAATGATATCAATGGACATGATGAAGTCAAACATTAATAAATTTGGTCAAAACGCGATGGCATATTGTAAATATTTGTATATTTCATGGCCAAGTGTACACCTCAAAGGGCACTTCTGTATTTTGGTTTCACCATGATTCAGTGGGCCCCACGACTCATTAACCCTTCCCCTCCCCTCTCTCCCACACACAAATACACACAATCTGTTTCTTTTTCACTCACGCACGCACGCACACAGTTCACACACACATACACAGAGTTCACACACACACACACACACACACACACACACAGAGACACGGCGGCACCACAGCACACAGCCACCTCCCGCCGCCTCCGACCACACCCAGCGCCGCCTCGCCATCGCTGGATCTCGCCTCGCCCTCGCCAGATCTTCACAGCGCCACCATCATCGGCCACTTCGATCTCAACAACCACGTCCGATGGCGAGCTCGCCGGCGACCATGACGACAGCGGCCGCACTCCGCTGCAACAGGCGTTCATCGGTGTCCGACGTCGTCGTCGGTAGCATCTCCTTTTTCGGCGGGGGTGATTGTGTGGTGGCCGACGGAAGGCGACGGCGGCGATGGCGAACGGCAAAGGTTCACCGGCGGCAGAGAAGATTCGTGTGTTGCAGACGAGTTGCAGAAGAAGATGAGTCGAGAATAGTAGAGAGACGGCGACGGCGACCTGAACGGGACGAGCTCGCCGGAGATCTGAACGGGAGATAGGAGGCGGCGGCCGGAAACGCCTTGGGGGCTGAGGAATTGCATCATGATTATGGTTGATTTTGATTTAGGTGAATTTTCATTCTGATTGTGAACAATTTTCGGTGAATTGTAGGTGAATTTTCATTCTGATTCTTTGAAGTGTGAATAACCAATTTTAGGTGAATTGTGGGTGAATTTTCATTCTGATTCTGGGAACAATGTTCGGTGAATTGGCAGGGGAAGTTAAATGCAATTTTGGTTGATTTGGGTGAAAATTGATTTAGGGGTTAGTTTTACGTAAATTAGGTTAATGTTAGGGACTTTTTGTAATTTTTGTAAAACTTTAATTATAACATAAATTAATTAGTGATATAAATATTAATACTAAATTATTAAGAATTTAATAAATATAAAGATAGTGTTACGAAATTTTTAAAACCTAAAAAAAATGATATTTTACCAAAATACTTGACATATAAAATAATAATAATAATAATAATAATAATAATAATAACAATAATAACAATAATAACAACAATAATAGAGTAAAAATATAAAAATTCGTAGTGAATTTCTGTTCGTTTGATATCATTCGTTTTTGTGCAATGTAATAGACAGTTGTGTGCAATCTGTATAACCTTAAAGTGCAATCGCAATACATAAAAATATATAGATAAAAAATAGTATTAATTATAATAAAAAGTATAAATAAATAAATAATTGGTAATATTTTTTCGTATATTTCGACGTGTGCGGTTATTTTGTTTATTAAAAAAAAAACTAATTCTGACATTAACCAACTAATATTATTTGATCGATTATTAAAATTACTGTAATTTTGATACGTGCGACGTGTTGTATTATAAGGTGCAACATATTGTTGTATAAAGTGCAGTTTATTGATATCTAAAGTGCAATACTGATATTATAGTATGTTATCACGAATGTGTTTATTTATTTATTTATTTTTTTAAATATAATGTGACGGATAGTAAAGTATTTTGTTGCTCCACTTTTTATATTCATATTGCGTAATATTTTGGCGTGATTGTTGACATTAATTGTGGAGTGTGTTTATAAAGTGCAACGTGTTATATTATAAAGTGCGATATTTTTTATTATAAAGTGCAACATTCTGTTATATAAAGTGCAATGATTTATACCTTTCTATATAAATTACGTGTATTCGAATTTCTTTTAATATATATAATTGTACATCGAATTAAGCTAAATAAATAAAATATTTTTTTATTTATTAGTTTTATCATATAATTTATTTATTATTATATATTATTTTTATATTATTATGATATTTTTATATTACTTTATTTAATATTTTATTTATTAATTAATTTGTGCATAACAATAGGTAAAGAAATAGTTTTTTATTCACTTTCAGTATTTACAAATCTGACCCATGGTATTAAATTGAAATAAATTTAAATTCATAAAATTGCAATCAAGTCATTCGAAATTATCTAATTCTCAAAAAGTTTCCCCATCCCCTCACGTTTGTATTTCTCTTCCATTCACCCCCGCCGTCAGCCTTCTCCGTCCGGTGATGGTCGGCGTCGCCAATTTCAGTGGTCATTGACGTCCGACCTGTAAGTCGGCAGAATCGGCCGCTTTCCGGCGACGTCCCCTGATTTTTTTTTCTTACAAGATCCGCCATTGAAGCTCGACGGTCGATTTTTCCAGCGCCACTACATCTGACTCGACTAGGTGGTGTAAGAATTATGAAGATGATGGCAGCCGGTTGTTGGTGTGTGACCGAGTTTGGCGGTGGAGGATGATGTAGGAGACAACAACTTAAACGGCGGCGATCCGGAGCTCCACCGCCTCCGGCAGCGGATTTACTTGTGGACGTGTGGCGGCGATAGTCGGGGCGACGACGGGAGGCCTACCGGCGGGGAAACAGTGGAGGCGCTGCCGTGATTGCGGTCGTGGCCGGCGGAAGACGGTGGCGGGAGGCGTTGAATGGCGGCATGTGTGTGTTTCTCAATTCTTCCTGTGTGTATCTGTGTATGTATATGTGTGTGTAGTGTGTGTGTGTGCAGGGTAGATGTGTTAATTGTGAGAGAGAGAAGCTTGGGACCCGTGTGTAGTATGTGTGCTGTGTGGGAGAGAGAATGAGTGGGTAGATTTGAATTGATTAGATGAGGTGGGCCCTACAGTTTGTTGGGTTAAAAATTCTATATTGCCCTTAATGAGTTTAAAATGTAGGAATTTTTTTAGTTGTTTAATCAATCGATCCGATGGCTAAAATTTATTCCTATTTCTCGCATTAAGAGTCATTCTCACCGGAGCGTGACCCTATATATATATATATATATTGAGAGAGAGAGAGAGAGAGAAGGGATCATATGAGAATGGTAGATAGTGAAAGAAATAATTAAGAATGAATCTGTACCATTGGATGCAACATATTAGTGGTCATGATCAAGTCAAATATTAAATATACTAGTCAAACATGTGATGACAATTTTGTAAATAAGTGTACATTATGTGGTCAATATACACATTTGACCATTAATTAAGGGTAAAAAAGACATTATATATATACCTATGGGCCCACCACTAACATCACTACCACTATCTCTCTCTCACACACTACACTTAAAATACACACTCACCCACACACGCTGCACACACACAGACACACACTTCACACACGCTGCACACACACAAACACACACTACACACACATACCTTGCACACACACAATACATACGCCGCCAGTCCGTCGCCGCTACCCCACCTGCCTTGCCGGCGTATCCACTGGAGATTCCACATCTGGATCTACAACAGTCCGCCGGAATAAG